TGACCCCCAAGCCCCCAGAACGGCCCCAAAACCCCCGGGATGGGCCCAAAACGGGCCTGGCAACCCCCAAAGCCCTGGAATGGCACCAAAAGCACGGCCAACAACTCCCAAAAAAATTAGAAATGCCCCCAAAACCCCATAAACGGCCTCAAAATGTCCAGAAATGGCCAGAAACGCCCCCAAACGCCCAGAAACGTCCCAAAACGGGCAGAAACGGCCCCAAAACGGGCAGAAACGKCCCCAAAACTTCTTTCCTCCCGCCCTTCCCTCACGGCCCTGAGGAAGCCCCGCCCCCCCCGCGCTCTCTGCCGATTGGCTCCGTTCCCACCAATCGCAGCCGCCACCGCCCTCCCGGCTCGGCTGCCATTGGGCGGCACCTGGCTGGGGCGGGGCCGCGCCCTGAGCCGCCCCCTCCTCCTTCCCGCCGCCATGCGGAGGGCGGGGCTATGCTAATGMGGTCTGAAAGGCGCCGCGCGCTCCGCGAACGTTTTAAAGGGGCAAGCGCCTCCCCCCGGCCGCCTTAAAGGCGCAGAGTTCACCCCTTTCTCTTAAAGGGCCAGGAACTAATTTCCCTCCACCTCCTCATGCCGGCACAATCCTCTTAAAGATACACGCCCCCTCTATAACATCTTAAAGGGACAGGCACACAACTGAACTCCCTCCTCCACCGCAGGCCTCGTAAAGGGGCAGGCACCCCACTTCAAGCCTTGTCCCCCCTGTCTTAAAGGGGAAGCGCACATTTCAACCCATCTTAAAGGCACAGCTACCCTGCCACTGCCTCCTTAAAGGGCCAGGCACCACCACAGACTCTTAAAGGGCCACACTCTGCCACCCCTGCTGTGGCATCTTAAAGGGACAAGCACCTCCACAGCCGCTGAGAGGGGCAGATGCACCTAGAAACGCCGCCACGGCCTCCTTAAAGGGACAGATACAGGGCTAGGCTCTTAAAGGGGCAGATGCCTCCTTGCACAGTCTCCGCCCCGGCTCCCTTAAAGCGGTAGGCATCTCTCGCAGCCCAGATTCTCTTAAAGGCGCAGGCACCTTCACTGCCCCCCCACCTCCCTGATGCCTTAAAGGGGCAGGTACCTCCCTCACGCTCCCCGGGCCCCTTAAAGGGGCGACGCAGCCTCACCGGTGTCGCTGGGGGGCCCCTCGTCGCGGGGCTCCCCCCCYCGGCCACCCCGCAGCGTCATCGAGAGCTGCCGCTTGATCTTCTTCATGCGGTCCATGGTCCTGGGGGGAGGGCAGAGCAGGGTCGGCGGGGGGCGCCCGGACGCCTGGGCCCCCTCTGGGAAAGGGCTCCCGGGTGCCTGGGAAGGGGCAGCCAGGGGAGCGGCCCCTTTAAGACTGTCCTGGGAAGGGGCATCCCGGCCCTCTAAGAGACTGGGGTCCGCGCCGGGATGCCTGGACGCCTGGGCCCTTTAAGAGCTCGGGGCTTCCCTGGATGCCAGGGCCCTTTAAGAGCCCAGGGAGATGCCGGACGCCTGGGCCCTTCACCCAGGCCTTGCGGCGGGGGTGGG